AGGAACAGCATATAGTAAGAGAACAAGTACATAGATATTATATTGTATCAATTCTACCTACAACTGTAGGACTGGATGATTTCCCACGTGGGAACTGTTGTCTTTGCAACTTTTCTGAAAAAAATCAAAACATTCTAAAATAAAATTTATTTAATTTTGGTTTTTGGGGACAGGGTCTCACTATGTAGTTCAGACTGCTCTGGAACTCACTGTGTAGCCCTTGCTGGTCTTGAATGCTCAGCGATCCTCCTGCCTCAGCCTCCTGAATGCTGGGATTACAGGTGTGCGTCACCATGCCCAGCAATAAAATTTATTTTTAAAAGACCAGGCAAAGTATCCACATAATGAACTACCACTTAGCAAAAAAAAAAAAAAAGAACAAATCACTGATAAATGCAATGTGAATTATCAAAAACACGCCAAGCTAAAAAGGCTTTGGCCGGCGTGGTGGCACAGGCCTGTAATCCCATCACTCGGGAGGTTGAGGCAGGAGGATCGCTGTGAGTTCGAGATCAGCCTGGTCTACTTAGGGAGTTCCAAGGTCAGTCTCAACTACATAGTGAGACCCTGTCTCAAAAAAACAAGCCAAAGCCAGGCGTGGTGGCACACGCCTGTAATCCCAGCACTCGGGAGGCTGAGGCAGGAGGATCGCTGGGAGCTCCAGACCAGCCTGGGCTACACAATGAGTTCCAGATCAGTCTCAACTATATGGTGAGACCCTGTCTCAAAAAACCAACCAAACAAAACAAAACAAAAAAAAAAACCCAAAACAAAAACCAAGCTAAAAAGCCTTTTACACGGAAGAATGCTTACTGATTGATTCCATTTACATAAAAATTATAGAATGACAACAACTAATCTTTGGTTTAAAAAAATAAAAAGTTATGGTTGCCTCGGTGGAAACTAAGTCTGAAAGGGCAAGTGAACTTTCTGGGACAACAGCAATGTTCTTCTACACGGTGATGGAAATTTGGGTTTACGGATAGATGCATTTTTCTCACAATTCACCATTTGTGGGTATTATTTTTATGTGAATTTTACTCCCTGAAAACTGCACAATTGTGAACAATACAAAGTCCTATTTATATGTGCACACTAAAGCAAATGAGGCGTTCTGGCGTAGCCAACTTACTGTAAAATACATGGAACAGTAAGATGGATGACGGGGCAAATACAGCAAATAGCCTAAGAGTGGAATCCAAGCGGAGGTTATCACTCTTTCACCTTCCTGTGTTTGTAATATCATAAAACCCAGGAATACACTCATTACTTGATTTCATTCACAAGTGTCTCATCACCGATCAGAGTAAACACCTCAGAGTTACTGGTCTTCAGGACCAGCATCTGCACGTTGTCATACGGATAAGAAACTGCGGGATCATTAGGGCCTCTCCAGGCAGCCATCAGCCATATTCTGCCAGGCTGATTAAGAGCCCTCGTCTCGCCTGAGCCGAGGATTCAATGGCGGAAACAACGGGACACAGAACAACTTGACGCATCCAGCCAAGATGCCATCACAAAGCGCGGCGCGACCTGCGGGGACGTCATGGGGCTGTGCGCTGGGTCCACTGCTACGCAGGCCTCCCAGGCAGCGCTCCTGTGAGGACTGTGGGGATGTCGGCAGCCAGCTGGCGCCCGATCAACCCTCTGGCCGCCCCTTCTCCCTCGGCCCCAGGCCAACCACGGACAGAACACGCAGCCGCGGTAACCTCAGGCCCGGGAGGTGACCGGGTGAGCGAAGGCCACCTGGCCCAATCCGGAACGCCGCGAAGCGGGGCGGCGGCCCAAGG